TTTTGGTTCTTAACATCCTTTACGATCGGTTACGATGCCTAGAGTACGGAGACCTGTACGATTTCGTCAACTTAGTGAGTTTGATAGGGGCCGTATAGTGGGACTTCGGGAAGCTGGACTTTCTTTTCGGGCAATTGCAGTTAGAGTGCAAAGAAGTGCAGTCACTGTGGTTAGGTGTTGTCAGGCATGGCTTCGAGAAGGCCGTACGCAAAGAGCAAGGGGCACGGGACGCCGCCGTAGAACAACAGACCGTGAAGATCGCCGCCTAAGATTATTGGCCTGAAGGGACCGTTTCTCCACTACCAGGTCCATTGCAAATGAATGGTTTGCAGAACACGGAAGACCTATTGGCATGCGAAGTGTTTACCGACGAATGAGAAGTTTTGGCTTGTTTTCATACCGGCCACACTGGGTCCTCCCTTTAACTCGAGAACACCGACGTAATCGCCTTGAGTGGTGCAGACAACGGTCACTCTGAGATCAGGAATGGAACAGTATTGTCTTTAGTGACGAGTCTCGATTTTGTTTAGGCATGCACGATGGTCGTGCCAGGGTTAGAAGGCGACGTGGTGAAAGGAATCCACAGTTTTTTGTTGAAAGACATGTTCATCACACTGTTGGAGTTATGGTTTGGGGTGCTATAGCTTATGGTTCCAGGTCACCTTTAATCTTCATCAGAGGTAACATGAACGCGCAGCGTTATATCCACGAAGTTCTAAAATCCCATCTTTTACCCTATCTTGACAGCCTGGCAGATCCAACTTTCCAACAAGATAATGCCCGACCACATGTTGCAAGAGTCACAATAGACTTCTTTCAACATAATGATGTCACATTGTTACCATGGCCACCAAGATCTCCCGACTTATCCCCAATTGAGCACGTGTGGGATATGATGGGTAGGAGATTGCTCAATTTGCAACGTCCTCCTTAGACTCTAGAAGCACTTCGAGAGGAGTTGGTGGTTGCCTGGAATGAGATACCACAGGAGGTCATTGACCACCTGATCAGAAGCATGCCTAGGCGCGTTGGAGAATGCGTAGCACATCAGGGTGCATCCACACATTATTAAAGGTCAAAGGGCTTTAAAGCAGTGCACTCATTTTGAAATTTTTATCATTTACTTATTATGCTTCATTAAGTACTTATACAAAATTTTATTAAAATAAAACCATTTAAACTGGGTGTTCGGATTTATATGTCACTTAGTATATATCTGCTCAGACCATTCTGATACCGTTGAGAACATTATTGCGAGGACCTGATTTTTGAAAAACGTCACAATTGTTTATACAACCCGTCGTACTGTGTGCCATTCTTTCAACGCGTATTTTTCGACAGTCAAATTAATGGTGAAGCTGAATGTAATCAATGCACATAAAACCTATTTGGCAGGAATTTAATAATTTTCCATCACTTCATTTTGACGCCAAATGCCAAGTCCTGCAAACTTCGCACCCCCTTCCTCCCTATAAATACCCCACTCCGAGCTACAGTAAGCGGTGTCTATTGAGACTCTCTCAACTGTACACTGGTAATCTCATCATAATAATATTTTCCATTTTGATATTGTTGAGGACTTGTGAGAACTGAGCCGGAGAAACGCGCGTTGCGTCAACAGAGGTGTGAAAATCCATAACTTTTCCCAACGAAGTTGTGGATATTATATAGCTGCTTGAGGGACGATTTAATTTTCATTTGAAACACCAACATGTTTATTTTATTTTGGCAGGGTGTAGCTTCCGTGCTTCATTTTGCCCGTAGGTGCGATGAATGTATGGAATAACAGGTACAACTGCGGAACCGTTGTAAAATCACATTGCATATCTTGGTGGAGATGTATGCCATTATTGCCCGAGCACTTTTATATTCTGAGTCGCATAGTGCCGAGGGATATAATGTGCGAGAACAATAATATTCTTCTCCACCGAGGTATGCATAGGAATTTTTTTCAGTGGCAATTATGATATATTACCACATTCAATTTGATTAGGGATTGGAATATAGCATATCTGAGAGTTTTCTCAATACATGGCAACATTGTCAGAATTAGGCCGGCGCAATGTCTGTATCACACAACGGTGCGTAGGAGAGGGACGCTGTCACAACATGATAGAGTCCGACGACGATAGAATCCGCTAGGTACGTCAACAAGTTATTCGGTTCCAAATCATTTTCAAATATCCCAATTTTGCTGTAAAAATGATGGGATGAACAATGAACAACAATAATTTCAGTTAAAATAGACTCTTACTTGTACTAAGAAATAACTATTAGTAATATTTGAAAATAGATAAAGATTTTACTCGCAGTGCCAATTCTGTGGCCAGCAAGCTAAATAAAGCTTTGTTTTTTATACGCAGCCGAGTAGAGGCAGAAGCCTAAATATCAGGGCACCGCGGCTGCTATGAGGAGACTAAAAAAACTTTGATAAACAGGCTTTTGAGCTGTCTAATATTAGTAGAACTGGAAAAAGCTTCCTCGAGTAGATTGTTCCAAAATCTCGATACCCTCGGGACAAAGGAGCCGGTCAGTTCTGGATGGATGAAGTATGATACGGTTAGGATGGGAGGCCGCAGTCAGGCTGGTCTGTCTGGCAAGCACATCGCGCTGCGGTATCATGGAGGAGAGCTATGAGGAGCAAAGCTCGTTGACATAGAGGTAGAAGAGAGTTAGATCGCAGACGGCTCGCTGGTACGAAAGGATCCCGAAACTTCCTAGCCCTAAACAAATAGCCTAACCTTTTCCCAGCAGCTGCTGATATTTACGAGATGTGTTGGTGTCATGTCTAGAACTCAGTGTTCTGGATTCCGGCCAGCCGAAATGAACGGCTCTTTGGTAGAGCATCGAAGCCGCATGAGCGTTAAGGCGCTTATTGTTATTGAAAGTACAGTACTGTGTTTTGGAAGCATTAAAATGTACCAGATTGATAACCTCCAGGTTTTACTTCAGAGAGGAGGTCGCTGCTCACCGGAAGAGATCGGCTTGTCACTCTGAATTCCTGCATGCAGTGTGCTGTTATCAGCAAAACTGTAGATCGGGTTGAGGGGTAATGATGGTCTCAACACCAATCCCTGGGGAACACGCGTTGACATTGTGGGATAAAGTTTCTCTGGGAGGGTTCAGGAAGGAAGTGTCTTTCTCACTCTATTTTTCACCTAAGTGGAGAAATATAACTTCTTATAAGAATGCGGTAAAAGTTACATTTTTTCCTGTTAGTAGTGAAAAAATAGTGATTTACCTAACAAGTGCGGAAAGTGATACCTTTCCACAAGTGTTAAGTATAAGATTTTCTCTAACAGCGCAGCGCGAGAAAATAATAACCCCAGAATTTTAAATACGTACTATTTTTTATTAGAAACTTAATAATTGTAAAATCAACATCATCAACAACAACATCAATAATTCGTTTAAAATAATTATAAGCAATATTAAAAGTAAAAGAACAGTTATTTGGATTATGAAAAGTAGGTATGAGTGCGGAAAAATTATGAGTGCTGAAAGTGATTGCTTTCCAAATGCTGGTAGAAAAAATGTTTTCATTACATTTTTACCTGGGGGCCTGGGAGCTTGGGTAGCCGAGTGGTTAGTGTCGAGCTAATCGGTCGACCCAAGGCTCGCGGGTTTGAATCTGAAGTTAATGCCGATCCATGGATGTTATGTGTTGTCTTTATCACGTACAGATTGATGCAAGATCAACCCTGGAGCTTTATTCAACCATCAGTTGCCAGTAGATGGGCTGTGGAGCAGTACAGTGTTGATACTACGAGGTCGGCAAATAGGGTCTAAGGTGGCCTAGTTGCCAGGCTTCGCCTACCCACCATCACTACTACTACTACATTTATCCCCATTATCAGTTCTGAGGATTCCCAGCATAGATACCAACTAGTCTCACACGATAAAAGAGGTCAAACTGCACTTTTCGCTACGATCTTATATTTTTATAATTAGCAGAAATTTAAGAAATGATCATTGTCAGAGAGTCTAAGCGCATATAATAGTTATTTTGTTGCTCTGTCAATGATCATTTTTGTTTTTCTTGAAATATCAGTGTTTTATTATGAAAAAATCAACTCTCGACCTTTAGATAACATTTTTTGTCCAAAAGGTTCAGCTTATTATTATTGAAATACCATGACTGCTCTGTATTTTGGATAAAAAACATTACGAACGTCCGTACTTGAAGGTTTCATGCTAAGTCTATACCTAAGGGCTAAAATGTTGTAAAGAAAACCACCCGAGGAATCAGCTTATGATCCACATTTGGGATTTTGGAGGAGTGAAAAAAATGTCAATAAACTCCCATATCTTCTATTTAGCCGTTGACAAAAATTACATTTTGGCATATACCTAGCTGATGACTGTAAAGTTGTTGGGAAAATTCGATAATCCCCCATGTTTGAATGAAACCAGATAATTTATTTGAAATTCTTCTTTGTATACGTTTCGGTCACAAAGGTGACCTTCTTCGATACATGACACTTCTATGAAAATATTTTATTTATCTGTTTCCTGATGACACTTCGTTTGTTTTTACTTTTCATATTCAGATTCCTATACAGTGTGTTACTACAACGGTCTGAAAGGACGGTAACACGCCAAGATTGCACGAGGCTATCATTGCAAATTTTAAGATAGAACCAAGCAAAACCAGCACAGACCAGGACCGCATTTCCGCCACAAAAGGACAAGCGAGCATAAAGTTATCTGACGATTTTTTTATGTACCAGATACGTCACCCTCGTCCATAGTTCCGAAAATGCCAGAAGACCGCCAAAGAAAGCGAAAACACACTCAGAACTGTTGTAACATACCGGTTAATTGCTATGCAATCTTTGACTAAAATGTTGATTTTTTACGGATATAAATAGCGAGAAATAGCACTGTCCTGTGAGAAAATAATACGAGTATAAGACATAGAAGTTTAGCCTTGAGGCGGCGAAGTAAAACAAAATTCGATGTGTTAGCTCAGGGTTGTTCATTTCGTAAGAAATACTTACAGAACGCAGAAAGTCCTGCGGCTGCTGCAGCAAGTTGTGTGTCGCCATGCGGCAGAATAAAGGGAAGCGGTGTGGCCAAAACTGGGATAGGTGCCACCAAATCTCTGCTAGACGGCTTTCTGACTGGATCCGGAGCGACGAGATCTTCCGGTTGTCCTTGTTGAGGTTTTTTATCCAGATCACCGTAGATCTTTTGGAAGAACTCTCGCGGAGATGATGGTTGGTTTGTCTTGGGAGGGGTGACAACAACCAGCTCGCTTGTTGTCATTTTGTGTACAAAAATCTGAAAGATATGCTTTTAGTCAACTGTCTTGACGCAACTTATTCAAGTTAAAAGAATACTGTAACGAAAACACCGCATTACTGTTCAACATCTAATGTATCACTTTAACACTAATTTGTAACACTTGCAACTAATTTATGACAAATTTATATCTACATAGATTGGACTACGCCATTCTGCGTTGTTTGTCTCGACTGTGACTAACTGCTTCCGCCATCTGGTCTGGTATTTATCCCCCTATCGACACGCCGAGAAATGTTCCAGTGTTTTCCAGGCCCAGTCGTGAACTTCCATGGTAGTAGTCTAGATGGCAGCAGGTGTCTCCAGACAAATCTCGATTATTCTTTAATCTCTGACTAACCCTTTTTAGATATCGCCGCAAGCGATCACACACGGTCACGTAACTAATTGCCTAAACGTCAACTATGCAAGGCGACTCCTCGCAGCTCAAGGTCCCAATTATACGAGAGCGTTACAATACATTTTCAGGAAAATGGTTCCAAGGAAAATTTAAATAATAGTTAGTATTCTACAATGATGCTATTTTCATAATTAGCCAAAAACGTATCTCACAATTATATTTTTTCTATTAAACGTACAAAATACCATTGAGATGGCCCCAATGTTCAGTAAACAGTCTATCCTACACATGTAGTTTTATTTAATGGACAGAAAAGCATAAACAATTATTAGCATGAAAACCACAGAAAGTTTCAGATGTTACATTATAAAGTACTGATATAGGTGGTCCACAGTGAAAATAAGGGATGAATGGATCTTTAACGTGTCAGATCCCTTTTTTCAACAGCCTATTTGGAAAAGTATTCTTAATGCTTTTTGTCTGATTGTTTCATGGTCTGGAGAGATGTCTGAAAAACAATATTTTAAATTTTTTTGTCAAATTGCATTTTTTCTTCCTCAATAACAAATAATAGCACAGCTCTGAAATGATATGTCAGTATTCCACTTTCGTAGTAAAATTGAGCGGGTGATTATTTTTTTTCCTCAAAAAACTTTTGCTTTTCTTGAAAAGTAAACTGCAAAATGAGTTTTCAAGCAAAGCTTTCTTGAAGAAAAAGAGATCACCGGTTCAATTCTACTATAAAAGTGGAATATTCACAAGATTTCAGAGCTGTATGATTATTTGTTTGTGAACAAGACACACTTGAAAAAATGCACACAATATATCCCTAACACACTATGAAATAATCAGATGGAAAGTATTAAGAATACTCCTCCAAACAGGCAGTTGAAAAAAAAAAGGATGTGCGATTTTAAAATCTTTATAAGTTCAATTTTCTGCAGCGGTTTCGTCGCCGTCGCTAGACAGCTCGACAAAAACCTCAAAAAAGTTAATAATTTTTCGTAAAAATTGAGTTTGTAACTAACTCCGCAGCTATTTGAACATTTTGAAGATTTATTCCTCTTTTACTCTACAGCTTTCTTCTGGACCATTTTGGCAATACTTTATACTTTTTCGAATACCTGGGAAAGTCATTTTTTCAGCCCTGGCGTTTAATGAAAAAGTTTCCTAGCAAAATTGTTTGTTTCTTCATATAAGGAGCCTTGTCTTCTCAGGGCTAATGTACGGAGAAATCTATGATGTTGAAATATGTCTAATAGATGCGTAGAATTGCCAATGTTGGGAGTGTATAAATCCCCAATCCCTTACAAGTTCCACCCCCAAGTTTTTCACTTCTATTTTTTTTTCAAAAATGATCGGGATCGTCTTGGCATAGTAGTAACATTGTGTATACGTGCAAAGAAAAGTAATAGACGGTTATAAGATTTACTGACAGACCGACAGACACATAGACCGACAGGAATGAGTGATATGGATTTTCGTGATTAACATAAATATAACATCCAAAACACATAATATTTCATTTTCAAATTTTTTCGCGATTACAATACTTCCCCAGGAAGTAAAAGACACAACATCTCAATTCTAAATATCTCGCCAATTAGCGGGGTGGGTAAAAAAAGTTGACTTACTCAGTATTCCATGCTCAAAAATAGATGAAATGAAGATACCTCAAAATTTCTGGTGGATTACGGAAAGGGTCAGATACAAACTCTTTATGTTTTGAATCTTGACAAATGCTCTAAAAGAGGACATTTTTCTGTTGGTATGGTTTGCATGGGAATAACTTCCAGTTTCTAAAACTGCAATCGGTAGATAAGAGGTTGATACTAAAAGAAACCAATGCAAATAATCGTGTTATTTTAAGTAGAAAACGAAATGCAGATCGTATATACAGTACTTTCGGTAGTAAATGATAACGATTTATCAAATTTAGATTTGGAGTTTTGCAAATAATAATTCGGACACCATGCATGTGCAAGTGCATGTACGTTAAGGAGAGATAAGGACGATTATGGAAATTATTGAACCAAAAACTCGTCCAACACGGTCCTGTCAGGTTCTTTGACGAAATTTGGCATAATGTATGCCTACCCAATGCTCACATCGACTGTACTATTCACACATGTACACCTAAAAAATAAAACGTGAGTAACTTGTATTCATGCAAATTATTTTTTTCAATCTTGTTTTTTGTTGATACCTATCATCACATAATAGCTAATCCAGAATCTTTGCTTAATTCGGTTTGAGTTGTGCGCATTGGACGTTTTGTTGGGATTCCCGCTATTTAGTAAGATGTATTTTGTATTTTTAATGAATAGTATTTCTTTGGCTGTTCATGAGAAACATCATCACCACTGATTTACGGAAATTAGTAGGAAAGTTCCAAGGTTGTAGCACTGTGTATAGCATAAGTGAAAATTATGTTTAGCATTACTCATCTGGCCATCATAGATACAAGTAGACGATGATAATAGGTGCTTGAAGTGAATAAAAGAAAATGTGTGCCTGACGGCGATAAAAACAAGTCCCATTACGGTATTGCAGTCATTTCAGTGAGTTGCTTGCGATTAGAAACACGCTTAAAAATGAAAGCTTTCGTACTGTTTACATTATTTTCGCTGTTAAACTTCTCTGGTCCAGCTGTCATCCAGTCGGCGGATAACACCGAAACTGAGGGACTTTACACAGAAGATGACAACGTTGAAATACTCACAGTGGAAAACTTCAAAGAAAAAGTGTTCGGAAGTAAACATGCTTGGTTGGTGGAATTCTACAATGCCTATTGTGGGTTCTGTAGAAGATTTGCACCAGTGTGGAAAGAATTCACCAGTGACATTGTGAGTTGGCAAGACTTAGTGAAAGTTGGTGTGGTGGATTGTAACCGGGATACTAACATCCCGGTATGTGCGGAGTTTGAGGTGTACCGCTATCCTACTCTCATATACTTCCATGAAAAATACTTGAATGGTACTGGAAGGAAGCTACCACCACATGATAAAGAAAAAATTGACGACCCCAAGGAGAATAGAATAAAATTAGCAGATGCACTGATCCAAGAGCAGCTTGAAGGTAGGGGCACGATATACCCAAATTTACTCCATTATAATTATAGTGACTCCTCAAAATTATTCGAGGTTCCTAGGCAACCTAAATACGTTTTCCTAGTGGTGATCCCTACAAATAGTACTATAGGTGTTGAGCTAGCAATGTACTATCATCAAGTTCCTGAGATAGCAATAAGATATACTTATGACAATAATACAAAACTTTTCAATGCCTTAAATGTAAGAACCACCCCCTCTTTATTTGTGGTAGAGAGAGATGGTTCTTTCAAGGTTTTGACTGTGTACTCTTCTGATACAGAAGGCTTTAGAACAGCAATTGAAAGATTTTTAAAATCAGCCAATATCAATGTCCGAAAAGTCGAACCTAAAAAGAAAACAGAGATAAGCTCTGAAAATAAAGATAAAAATGATGATAAGCAATTACTCAATGAGATAAAACGCAAAGGGGATGCAGTTTTCCAAGGGGATTTGGAATCAGCGTTGCGATATAGTCTTACCAGAGAGATTGGAGTACAGAAGGAAATAAAAGGTAAAAGGCTAGAAGCCTTGAGGTTGTACCTAGATGTTTTGGAGAAATATTTCCCGTTTGGAGATAACGGGAAGTCATTAATGAAAGAAATTAAAGAATTAGCTTATAAAAGTGATAATGTTAATGGATTGGACATCAGAAAGAAGGTTCTTGAAGCAGGAAAATCAGAAAAGAAAGTTTTCAGTACACCTCAGAGATGGGTCGGGTGCATTGGAAGTACTTCAGCATATAGAGGATATCCATGTAGTCTGTGGAAAATGTTCCACTTTCTTACAGTGAATGCGGCCTTGGATAATAGTTTTCACTTTGAACATGAAAGTGTAGCTCTCAGAGCTATGCACGGTTATATCAAGAACTTTTTCGGGTGCACAGAATGCAGCAATCATTTCCAAGAAATGGCAAGTAGAAGGAACATTTTCGATGTATCAACTCGGAAGAAGGCTGTATTGTGGCTATGGGAAGCCCACAATGAGGTGAACAATAGATTGCATGGAGATTTAACAGAAGATCCAGAGTTCCTGAAAAACCCATTCCCTTACAGAAATAGATGTCCACAGTGTCAACACCCAAACGGTCAGTGGAACGAAGAGGAAGTTTACAAATACCTAACAAATATGTATAATAAGGACAATATCAATTATCTAGGAAGCAACAAAGATGCTTTGATGACTAATTCTGCTCTTAGTAACAAGCGTATTAGACGTAATGTTAATCTATTATTATTGGCTACTGCTATATATACCTTTAGAGGATACGTGACCTTATAAGACTGCATACGATCGTAATGTAAGTGTGCAATAAAACATTGTCTAAAATACCATACTATTTGTGTCTTTACCTTATTTGATATGTTAATTGCGTTTTTCTATATCTATTGTTTTATTAAATGATTTTAAATATGGTAAAGGAGACTAAACCAGTAAGTAAATACACTGTGTTAAACATAACTCATTTGTCGATCTATTTTTTTTAATAAGGAAAGATGAAACAAATATAGTGTTTGTAAAAATTTACGAATTTAATTTGACAATTTTTTAATTTTTCAATGCTTAATGTCTACATCTCCAAAATCTATGGATTTGAATCTGCCTCTTGGCGGTTTTCAAATCGCGTAATCTCAGAAACGGCTGCACCGATATTGAAAAAATTTGGATGGGGGCACGCTGTGGAACCACAATAGCTTCAGATCCTTTCCCAAACTTCGTTTTTGTACGTTCTGATAATTTATTTCGTTACATTTTTTGTTGGAGGAAACGAAATTTTTAAAAATTTCTAAGAATTTGTTTTACACTTACTTAAGCTCACTTAACACTATAAAAAACATGAATGAGTACCGAGCCATTCTGCATGACACCATTTTTATTGAATCGTGCGTGCATATTGTTTTGGGTTAAGTTGAAAATCGCTTTCAATACCTTTGTATGTTTGTATTTGAAAATGCCAATGTTAATGTGTAAAAAGGACCGGTAAAAAATCTAACTGAATACATTTTTTCTAAAGCCACAAAGAAAATATATGCATTTATTGCTTATTGTACAATTTTTATTGATATCGCACATAAAAGAAAAAATGTTCTATTGTAAATCATGACAATATGCTTTTAAGAAAACTACGTCAGCGGTTTTAACATTTCGACCTCAATGTACACGACTCTTTCGTTTACTTTTTGTGACATTAGACGAAGAAGTATAGCATTATAGAGCTGCGTTAATAACAAACGTTAATTTTAGCCGTACTTGATATCTAAGTCGACTGATTCACGTGTGAAATTAAGGTAACGTCAACGTTTTTGGATATACGAGTATTTGGGATCGCCAAAACTCTCTAGTAATTCAGGTATTGATTATCTCCGCGTCTGCTCGGAAAAATATTCTGATTTGATTCTCTGCATTTTTGGGTTTTTAGGAGAAAAGTGTTTTGGAACTTTTCTCTTAAGTCGGTAGTTCTCGAGATATAAGCGATTTAATATTTCAAAAAGTACAAACATGCTATTTTCGTATTCGAAAAACAATATGAATTTTTTTTAAATGTAGTATTCATAAATATTCTTCAAATATCCATTAACAAAATCCCAAAGTATATCTGTAAACCCTTGTTTTTTTTCGATATCAGCATATTTTGCACTTTTGGAAATATTTAATCGCTTGCATCTCAAAAACTATCAACTTTTTTGTTCAGAATGTCTTAGATCGGAGAGAAAAAACTATTTTTGAAATTTGCTTAAACAATTTGTTCAATCAATTTTTTACCCAATTTTGGGCCTGGAAACATTCACATTTCCTTAAAAGGGATCCTTTGTGAATGAGGCTATGCAAAAAATTCAAATTAGAATTTTTCCGAACAGACGCGCACTACTACTACTACCTAAACTAATATTGTTTTTGGATGCTATACAGAGTGGCGCATCGAAAACGAAACAGACGCATTGACTGGCAGCTCTGTTTTTTTTAACAACGCTCAGACCCGTCGATTTTGTTTTCGAGGAGGACACAAGTTTGACAAAAAATCACGATAGCACGTGCAGCCCCCTAAGCGGGGGTGACACCACTCCCAAAATATTAAATGGAAAGGGGGGTCGAGTGATACCTCATTTTAAAGTTCTTTCAATTCCCTTTATAATGATATAAGATTAATGTACTTCAGTTCAGTAGTTTTGAAGATTTATTGCTTTAAAGCTTAAATAAAACTAATACATCATCATTAGTGGAGATCAATACATTTGGCAGCAAAGTAATTTAAAAATGAAGAATGAACTGACCCGTTAGGCAAGTAAATGTTGAAAATGGCCACCATGACTCTCCATGCAATAATAAAGATTTTGCTCAAAACGTTGCCGCACATTTTGCAACATTTGAGGAGTAATTTGGCACGCATTCACAATTCTTTATCGCAGGTCTTCTAATCATGTTGGCTGAGTAGCATAGATTTTGCTTTTTAAATGACCCCACATAAAGAAATCCAAAGGTGATAAATCTAACGATCTTGGGGGCCATTCAATGGCACCTCTTCTACCAATGCATCGAACTGGAAACATCTTATCTAAATATTGTCGAACAGGTAATGCGTAATGTGGTGAGGCACCATCCTGTTGGAGCATCAACGTATTCGCAATGTACCGCCCATCATTCTGATTTTCAATTATGGCTGTTAATGCAGGATCTATGGCGTCTTCCAGTAATTCCAAATACATTTCACGGGTCAAATTTCCAGGTAAGAAAAAAGGACCAACTAAATGATCGCCAAAAATACCAGTCCAAACATTTAATTTTTGTGGCTGCTGTGTATGAACCTCATGATAAATTCTGGGATTAGAATCGGACCAATATCGGCAGTTATGATGATTTACTACGCCATTTAAGAAAAATGAATATTCGACGGAAAAGCAAGTGTTGAATAGAAAATGTTCATCGTTTATCATTCGTTCACTCATATCTTCACAAAATTGTAATCGCCGATCAAAATCGTCATGAAGTTCTTGTACCAGGTGAATTTTATACGGATGAAAACTATGGGTCTTTAGAATCCGTTGGACAGTACGTCGACTAACACCACACACAGTCTCCAATTTGCGGGTACTGAACGTAGGATCTACATAAACTTGCCCTAAAACCCCCACTTCTATTGCTTCGTTCCTTATGGGTTTTCAATGATGCGTTTTTTATTGGCGACTGACCCAGTTTCCCGAAATTTAGCTACAAGTTATAGAACATATTTTCGATGCACGTTACTGTTCTCATGTCGCTCATTAAATATTTCTGCTGTTCTATTAGCGCACTGATTATTTCCGAAAAACATTTCGATAATTTCTGCTGTGGAATATATCATGGTTAATTAATGTAATAAAGCGTTACAAGTTATTTTTAGCAACAAAGTTTGGTCAAATCAATCGAAAATTATGTACTAACTTCCTATTTAAAATAAGTACGTGATATTTCCTTATCTTTCTTCAAGAAATAACTTTTTTGCCACAAAAAAACGGTCCAATAGCTATTTTCAACAACAAAATGATAAACAAACCATGGGCGTAGTGAAGAAAAGCATTTACTTATTAAGTAAATTCTTTTAGTCAAATTTCTTATGAAAGTAGTACAAACTAATCTGATGCACCTATTAAAGTCTACTTTAAGCTTTAAATCAATAAATCTTCAAAACTACTGAACTGAAGCTCATGTATTTTACATCATTGCAAAGCGAATTGAAATTGCTAGATCTTAAGACATAAGCTCCCTATGTTATTCCCTATAGGGCTAATCAGAATAATTAGATTACACAACTCTAATGGATAATAATAACTGCTGCATGAAACTCCGTGAATAAACGACTCTGGTGTATTTGACTCTGGTGTATTTGAAGAAGAGTTCTGCGGTTCATGAGGAGATCGGAACTCTGTATTCTACCTTGATATAGACATTTCGATCAGTATGTGTAGATTAAATAGCTTCCAAAATGATTTTTGCTAGTAAAAATGATATTTACATTTTTTTTAAAATTTGTCTCGCTCTGAATGTTGCGCTTTTTTGGCAAAATGTAAAGGAACAAAACAGTCATTGAATATAGGATAGACCAAAAAACAAATCTTTAAATGTTTGCCTAATGTACATATAATATAATTTTGGTATACGCCCTTGAACTGTTCAAATTTTAGATCAATTTGGAACATTGCATTTATTCATTAGCATGTTCAGACTCAGGAAAATCGCCTTCTAATATTCCAAAGTCCATTTTGTTTCTAGGAGCTATTTTACCTGATTATGACCATTACTACTATTTGAAGTAACACCTGTCAAAGTACACTGCTAACAGTATGCTGATCCTATATCGCAGTAGGGTGAGAAATATCAGCCATATAATTATTGTAACATTTTTTCTAATTTGAAAACTGTAATTATTATGCACAATAGATACTTATCACTACTTCAAAGCTCATTAACTATTTCCTAAACATAGGGCAAACATTCACGATGAGAATATTTGAAAAAATCTGAGAATATACAGGCCGAACAAATAACATTACTTATTACTTAAAATATCATTTCTATAAATGTTTTTTAGCGGAAATTTGGACACTACGGAAAATAAGATTTCGTTCTTTCCTAGAATGTAGGTATCGAATATAAAATCATACTTATACGCGTTATAGGTGTTTTTTAATTGAAATATTACCAGAAGATATCCTGTTTTACGATAAGTGCAAATGTAAATATTAGACTGACATTTAACTCTAATACCACCATGAGAAGTTTCACATTTGGTTGGTGTTCGAAATACCTAAATCAATCAACAAAGTAGTTACCTATCTACTACACGTCAGCAAGAATAATCTCTTCCACTATTCGCGCTCCATATTCCGGAGCAGCAGGAGAACACCGTTTACCGGAAGGTTTAAAATTCAAACTCACCGCAAACGGCGCGACTGCGGCCCCTTGAGGTCGCAGGGCGCGTGTCGAGGGTGGCACACAAGAGGCGTGGCCGTCGCAACTAATGGGGCCCATAATTTGATGATGACACTAACAAGGGGGTGGTTTTGTGAGGATACTCCCCCGCTTCTGAGCGGGATCTCAAGGAGGATTTTGGAAATTCGCAAAAGTAGATGCTCTTTGTTTTCGGCTATAGCTTAAAACATAAAGCAATTTATTACCATATTTATGCCTTATCACATCTTTTTTTGAGGAGTTGGCATTAGACGCAAGTCTTTTTGCTACAAAGATCTATGAAACTAAAATTATAACTTGAGTCCAGTCTCTCTGCAAAAATCTAGTAATTGCCGTTACCTCTCTTTTTTCAGATGATATTCATGTATTAATGTTCAGTGGATGTTGATGTGCCGTTGGATCGCGAGTGATATGATCTTCTCTGCAGCAGTCATATCTACTGCATGGTAGAATCAGATGATTAAGACCAGCTACTTATCCATCTACCTCACAGTGTGCTGGTAAATTTCCATGGTTGACTTTTATTCTGGTTAATGTAGCAGAGCACTTTTTATTTAGCAAATAGTAGTTGCTATTACTTTGTTGACAATTTCCATTCAAATGGTTCTCCACTCCGAAATTACGTTTGTGTTGTATCAACTAAGTAAGTCTCTGTACAGTGGTGGTTTTTCTCTAGCTCCTGAAATAATTGTTAATTTTGCAGCCATATCAGACTTTGCATTGCCTTGTATGCCAATATGTCCTTTTACCAAAATAAAGACAACTTGAGTACTTACTATCTTATCACACTTTATATTAGAAATTCGGCATTGGAAAGATCCTTTTGAGTGCTTTGTGATTTAAAATATACACAATTGGAACTGGGAAATATTTTGCGGTAATTGGTCTACAGATAGGATATAATAATGACAGATGTTCTTTACTGTAGTGAACGTATCAATCGCAAAGGTGATCTTCTCCAGTACAATGGCATAGATCACCTGTGATTGAAACATTTAGTATTTCAGTAAAGATCTGCCAATACAAGTGGTTTTAT